TTGCGTGCGTGTCCTCGTCCGACGTCCACTTCCTGTTTCTCCACGAGATTGTGATGGTTTGCACAGGACGACGAGTCTGCTCTGGAGATTTACGTAAATTGCGAGTTCATTTCTTGTTTCTAGGACGTTCAGAAAATCATTCACAAGCGGTGAAGAGGCTGGAGCGTCATCCGGCGGGCGCGCGGAAGAATTTGGCGTCCATCTTGTTTTAGCCGTGAAAGTTACGAGAATCGTTTGTGGCATTTTTCATAACTGCTCCTTGTGCCCCTCTCGCCCGCTGGCAGAGGCTGCCTCGTGGCTTGGGTTACTGAGGTGCTTGCCGCTTCCATATTCAGGGTTCACTTCAACAACCTACACGTCACAGTGAACGTTGATTGGACGATTTGAAATCGGCCGTGGTTTTGAAACGGAAGTTAAAATATTTTTAATGGGAGTTGTTTTTAACAGTAGAGATAACATATATTTGTATCTTCCTGATTGTGGTATAAAAATTAAAATAATGTGTATATTCTTACGTAATGTATCTTATTTTGTGAAGAACGTAACTGGAAAATTCATTTCACTGTTTGATATCGAAGTCACGCAGCTCCCGCTCTGTGACGGAGCCTGTCGTCTTGAAAACTGACCTCAGCGAAATGAGTTCAATTTGCATCTTGTGATATTTCTCTTAAGATTCATTCGGACCCTTAGACTAATGTCTTTGTCGTTAGCTGAGGCTCCGCGTTGAAAGGATAAATAATTGATTTAAATGTCGTTTGCCGAGGAGGGTTTCAGGTGTTTCAGCGTAAATCAAAGAATGCTTCAGATTTGTACTGAAATAAATATGTTGAAATCCAAAAATCTGCTGCCCACAAAATGTACTTCGTTATGGATTCTGTTTCCAGGCGTTGAGACGCCACGCGATGATCCAAATTCGCGTGTGAAAGTTTTGGGAAAATGTCGCGTCTTCTCGCAGGTTAATTTGAAAGGAAACCGAATTAATGATACGTCATAAAACGTGTAATTTCTTGTGTCTTGTGAAAGCGCTGACTCCGCCCTGCCAATGGCCAGTGGTTTGAATAAATGTCGTGGGAAAACTCCGGTGTCAGGCCCAATTTTATTTTCCGTGTTGAGATTTACGCCAGCAGAGGCGAGACGTAAGATCGTAGTCGCCGAGCGTAACTTTCTAACTTTTATATGCGTCATTAATATGTGAATTCTGTACATTTTCATGGCTGATACGTAGCCATTGTTAGGGAGAAAGATTCCAGAACTTCATTCATTAAATTAACGCCGGGCGTCGGAGAACTTGAAAACCGCGACGCGATTCCTCGCCGTGTAAAATGACGGGTACTTTTTAAGCCGTTTTAAAACTAATTCTCCTCACGTTCCGGTAAATGGCGATCTTTTAATAGCAGGCAGAAGATACTTTAAAAGAACTGTCACATAATGCAGATGTTCTTCTCGGTTCATATCAAACAGTTTTGAATTATTGTTGGAATGTAATATACAAGTTCAGTGAAGTTTTTGGGTCGGTATTTCAGAAAATGTTAGTTACTGATTGGTGTTTCTTCTACGTCGAGTGTTCTCCTTTAATTGTAGTTCCATTTGTCTTAACGCCAACCGCCGTTCTGAGGACTGTCCTTTGTTGAACGCGTCGCCAGATGCTTCCAGCGTTGGTTAAGAACGCGATTTCCCGAATGTTCGGCAGAATCGGTGTTGGCGCCGCTTTAAACCATTCTCTCGCTGTTCTGATGTATTCCTTGAAATAAAATAATTCATGATGTCTGTAACAATGAGACGTTCTCTAAATGTGTCTTTCACGGGACGTAGTGCGATTGTTGGGACATTGTAAAATTTTAAAGCAACTTTTTTAGAGAAGGTCTTGGTCCTGGTGAGGTTAAGAATTCTTGCTATGTGAAGGTTTTGTCGTACTTGTGTACAAAGTATATAGCAAACAGATTGTTTCAAACTGGAATAATAAGTATTTTGTGTAATAAAAGTAAATAAAGATATTTGTAATAGACCATTTTTTCGTGCTGTGATAAGAGAGTAGACGCACGTGTGTTTGTAACAACATTACTAACCTACGAGATGCAGAATGTGGCTCGGCGTCCATCAAGTGTTCCTTATTCTCTGGTAAAATTCTGATGTAATTAATCTTTTGTGTTTATGCAAATTCTTTTTGATCGTAATACAGAAAGAATAGTTTTGACGTAAATACGTCTATATTTTAGGGTCAGTGTTATTCGGCAAAAATTTGTTACGAAAAAGTGTAACTTCATTGTTATGTTACCTAGGAAACCTCATATGTTTACTCGGCATTGTTGTTACCTATAAAACATTACCTTACATTACATTCAGCTACTACAGACCCATCTTAAGCGTAACTAATTCAAGTTAAATAAGCAAAGTCTTAATCAAACTTTACTCAATTGTAAAGCAGGTATAAAGGAAGTATTTAGAATATAAACTTCCTTTCCGTATAGACGTATTTACGTCAAATTCTCCGGAACCGTGGTTCCACTGACAACTTTTTAACGTTTGGTTAAACACGAGAATGATCCGGTCTTCAAAGGTTTTGCAAATTTTGATTTGGACAGCGTATACTTACGCGTTACCTTGCGATCTTTGTATTTTTCACATTCAGCTGCTGATAGGAGTAAAACTGTTTTGTGTTCGAAGCTTTCGTCGTACATTTCACTCCAGAAATTAGAAACTCTTCAAATGCATTGCTTGTATGAAGTTAATAATATTAACGAGTAATGGGGAAACGTTTCAGTCCATCTGTTTGCGTGTTTCAAGTGTGAACTTACTAAATGTTTTTCAACAAAATTAAGTATCAAAATGGGGAATTGAAGTCTACATGAGTTACCAGGTGAATTTTAACTATGAAGCCCCTGAAGTTTTATCAATTTACAGTTCATCGTGAAAGAATATTTAAGGTAGAACCAAAATCTCGTGATCATTTACGTCTTAAGTTTTAAATATTTTCGTGTATTCATTATTGAAGGAATGCACAGTGCGATCGGTTGACAAAATACAGATTTGCATCTGCGGTAAGTGAACATCGAGGCATGTCCGGACCAAGCCTGAAGGAAGTAAGAAGAAGAAGATTATGACTGGCCATTCCGATTGTCGCGTCCAGGAGTCACGTCGTGGTCCTCGCATATGAGCATTTGGAGGAATAGGCTGCTAATACCAACCCCTAATTCCTAAAACTCCCTCGGAATGAGCCTTGAAGGTGGCAGAGAATTAGAGGTATAAGAACCATGGACCACAGTCTACAACAAACATCATATAAGTTTGTCGGATTGTATGAGACGATCAGTCTCGTCATACGGGCGTGATATACAGGGTGTGGATTTAACGTCCAGGTTAGTAAAACTGAAGTAATTAATAACTTACTATTATAAGTTATTTCTCAAATGATAACAGCAAATGCATTTTATTATTATTTATAATTTGTAGTTGCGGCATGTCATTAGTGAAATACAAATGATGATGGGCGTGCCGTATAACCATTAGCTCTGTCAAAGGGATATTTGGGTTTGTGGTAACTGAACACCGAGTCTGAAAGAGCCATTTTCAAAGTGCTGTTTGTTTACTAAAATTCACGATAATGTTTCAGAAATACGTCTTTAACTGACTCGTCCATTTGGTCTTGCATCAATTTCATTCTTTAATTTTTTATGCATGAAAAATTACTGTCTTGTAGGTTGTGTGGTCAGAGGTACTTGCTGCATCCATCATCAGAGTGGCCATGATGGAGGCAACAAGCAGCTCTGACGTCAGTAGACTTGTACAATGACCCAGAAGGCAGCCATTTTCGTGTTCCGAAATTTTGCATCACGTAGTATCTGTAGAAGTTGCCAGAAGTGCTTACTGATTGGTACAACATTATAGAAGGCTTCATATTTGCTGCTGTCTGAACTTTGAATCGCATGGGCAGACTTCCCTTTGTCTGGCAATGTATGAAATACGTCAGCAATTTCCTTGTCGTACATATTCCGCATGGTATGCTTCCTTGTCAAAAGATGGCAGAAGTAATCTGAAATAGAGCGTCATCTCGTGTGTAAGAACTTTACTAATTCAAACTAGTTACAAGCGACGCGTGGGTTTATGGGTTTACCAGCGTAACCAACGTCAAATATTTTATGTAGTATAATAATCATAGTAGTAGATAATTTCATGCAATCTGTAATGAACGTATTTGCGTCAGAATTGAATTTTATAATTAATTTTAATTTATGATTTACTTTTAAATGTTAATTATCTTGCAAATGTAAAGAGCGTTTTAGGGACTACGTTGGTAGCATTTAGGTTGTAAATTTTTTACAGCTATTCGGCTAGACAAGGCATTGATGGCACGATTATGTGGAATGTTGTGCACATGAAAGTGGTGTATATCGTGGTAAAGTGTGTATTTTAGAAATTTCGCATTTGCAGCTGTAACTCTACCTATTTAAAAATGGACAATGAAAATGCATCTTCGTCTGTTAATTTTATACCGTGTGTGAAATGGGTGAGAAAAGGAGTTGCGAAAGAAATTCCAGAGAAGGTTAGCAAGCATGGATTTTGAAATTATGAAGCCATGTCATCACTTTAATAACGTATTCCAATTAGTAACAGCAATTCTATTTATGACTGGCTTATACTGTAGTCTGATAATTGAAAGCTTGTGTTAGGAGTAGCACAAGTAAAAGCGTATTGATGTTTGCAAGGTGTTTGTTACGGTAGGATACCGATGTTAGTCGCTAGGAGATTTTGGAAACAAGTTATTGGTATTTCTGAAGGGAAATTTTAATTGTACCTCATTTTCATCATTCAGTGCAATATTCTGTCTCGGGAATATTTATGCGACACATTTACGAGTCGCCTAGAATGAGATGCGTAATGCTTAAAATGACGTTGCCATCATTCGAATATTCAATTATTGAGGTGTGAAATTAAATGAAAGCCAAAACATTTCAAGGAGAAACCTATTAACATAAGGAGTTGTATCATTAACGCCCATTCACTTTGGTACTACTAGTTCTGTAGATAAACTGTTTTCTTCTATGAAGAAGACCAAATGAGGGTATATATAACCTAATGGTTCATTACTTTATTCGCAAGTCTTCCAGCAAATTCCATCCTGAGCCTTGTTAATCCAGTCCACAGCACCCACCCCATTTCCGTAAGATCCATTAAGTATTACTAGGTCTTCCCAGTGATGTTTGAAATATATACATGAAATCAATTGCAAATTTATTCTATATAGTAATAAAAATCAATGTAAGTTAGTCACTGTATAATATTATAGATTAATGAAATATTGAAACCCACTGTTGTTTAAATTTTGTGGAGTTTTTAAATCGTGGAATTTATCCTCAATATGGTAGGGAGGTACAAAGATAAATTTGCTGTGGAGTTAGATCCTTTGTAAGTGGCTTTGTAAAACAAATTTTGCAGTTATATTAGTCCCCTTTCTCTGTTTTAACTATCCTCAAAGTGCAGATTTAAAGCAAATATGTTGCTTCTGAACATTGCACTTAAGGTGTTGGATGTATTCTGTATGACTATCAAAAGGGTTTCATAATATGTGTTTTGATTAAACTTTAGTGTAAAAGTGGTTAGGTGTTTTACTGGAACCTAAGTTTTTGCAGAAATTTTAATTGTACTATATGGAGACATTATAATAAATTATTGTATTTGTTAAACTGATATAACAATTAACAGCAACAATCCAGACTTGTTCAGAAAATTATTTGCAGCCTCATTCCATAACTATTTTTTTCAATTACTACTGAAAACACATTTACTTTTAACACACATATGTTCATGTTTTGAAGGCCAGAGTGTATGGATATTTGAAGACATAATTGGTATCAGGTGATGTTCCATCTTCCTGTGCCTCCAACTCTAAATTTAATGGCCCAGAGGTTGTATATTTTAAAACATTTTCATTTTGGGGTGGCAGCTATATTGAAGGAAAACTACCACAACTGTTGAACTTGTTTTTACGAAACTACATACCAAGGACCCAACTCCACAGCACTGCACAATTTGTCATATTGATTTATTGAAATTTAAAAAGTTTAAAACAGTTAGGCAATGGTGAGTTTGATTTTTTCGTGAATCTTATTATTCTCCAGTGACTTCTACTTCTAGTATAATTTCCCTTTTGTATGGGTCGATTTAGGTGACTGAATAATTCCATTGATGTGGTCTTCTGGGCTGTGACACCGTGAAACCTTGCAGGTGCCAGTGTTCAGAGTAAAAAATCAGCTTTATTTTAGAGTTGAACTTCAGCCTTGAAGATTGAGGCTGTACATTCCTCTGAACTGTTGGCAACCACTTTTATCAAATCCCTGAAGGCCACAGTCAACATCTTTACTTGGACAACCTCAGACCCAAGATATTTTCTGTCTTCTTGCAGGTTCAGTTAACAGAAGAGGAACTGCAGGAAATAATTAACCAAACTAAAACTGAACTTAGGTAAGTGAATTATTTTTGTCAGAAATTGACAAGGAAATGCAAAACAACACTTGTAACAAGCATATACGTAAACATTACGACAGTTGTGTTCTACAATGGACTGTGTATGTTTTGAGATGTTTCAGAACATGATTTTTGAAACATGTTTAGGAGTCTTGTAGAGAACTCTAGGCTTATAGGTAGTTATTTTCCCCTTGCATAGTGTAGAATACATTTTGCACCTGATTGGTGTTATTTAGTGTTTCAGAAAAGTTTACCTATTGTCTTAAATCCAAATAATTAATATCTTTGTTATATTAGGAACTTGCTCTGGGCATGTCTAAGTTTATGGTCACTTTTGGTTTACCAGAGCCCTCAGTTATGGCACATACTGTACTTCCATAATACAGAGAACTTGGCATTTTCATGTTCTTGTTAGCTTTAAATAAAACAGCCGTACCTTCATGCCTTCTTCGTGTCATACGCTTGGTCCCTTTACCAGACAAAATCTGTGGTCTTCATAAATGTGTGTCATCCCCATTAAATATCTTGCGAATGTGTTTTGTAAATTTTCTGGACATGAATTTAATTTTGTAATATTACCTGTTAGCTGTTATATTTGATATACAGTCTGTATTAGTTGCATCTCCATGGTTGACTTTGAGAAATATTTTTCATTAAACATTTATTGTGCTTGGATGTTCTTGTCAAATGTTTGGTGCCTTTGGAGACCATTACCGCACAAAATAATATTTGTTGAGTATTTTAAAGAACTAGTACCTCAGCCTTTTTACTCCTAGTGCTGATACTTAAGAATCGGCTGGTTTTCTTTTTTGTGTGTGCAGAGGAAAATGATAGTAATGTATGGTCATGCAAAGAATGGCATTTTTTTGTAATACAAGTAGTTTCGTGGCTTGAGGGCAATCGTGTGAGTATAAATACCGTGTCACTGGCTGCTCTCTTTAGTAATGGTCATCAAGGCAGTGGACCTTAGAAGAAATAATGCACTGGAAAGATTCAGTGACATTTATTTTAACATGAGAGACTGAAATGTTGTTTGAAAGTGTATTTAAAAATAATATGACTTTTATTAAGGTGGAATGAAAAGTAACAGTTGTTAATGTTAAAGGGTTGCACAATTCTTTTTTCTCTGTCTCTTGTTTTTTTATTTATATTTTTTTGTTATCTCGTTAGATCATGTACTTGCCCTTCATTGCCGTGTTGACGCTGGGCATTAGAGGGATAATATTGCGCAGTGAACATTAGGTCTAATCCATTTTTCAAAACATATGCACCGACTGTTTTTAGCAGCGTGTTCTGAGTGGATTTTAAAAATATTTAATATTGAATGTACTCACTAAGAATTGTCGTCCACATAAAATGTTACCCGTGTTGAATGTGTGTCTCACTCAACGTAATGGCAAAAATACTCTTTAGAAATATTTTGCTACATGGCAGCCAAATCAGACATTTCTTTTATTGCCTGTGAGTAGTAATAATATTTTGTGCCCTTTGTATTTCTGTTGGTGGGGTTATGATTTCTTGTTTAATTTTATCATTTTTATATAAATACTTTAATGTGTTAAGTCATTATTTCTATGCTGTTTTATGTCTGTGTTTTAATTAAAACTTACCTCTGCAGAGTTGACTTATTGTTTCTTAAAGGTTACTGACGATGGTGTGTTACAATCCGAATCACTAAATTCTTGGACTATGTCCATTGTTTGTGTTTTTAAAAAGAATGCTACATTTCAGAAGCTGGATCTGCTTTTGTCCTCAGGTTAAAAATGTGGTGGGGCACCTACTCAATTAGGTGAAATCAGGCTTCATCAACAGGCGATAGTAGAAAAAATTACAACAAATTGTAGAAATGCATTGAAAGACCTGAAATTAAAACAGAAAGGGAAGTAACAAATAAGTACACGACATAAAAGAAACGTCACGGTTTTAAAGAACAGACGATGGGAAAAGTCCTGGCAATGAGTAATTTTATGTGTAAACCACCGTCTTCAAAACCCTTTAGAATCGAGTTTATTTTTTGTTAAACTCATCTTAAATTTTGAGTAGGGTGGAGACTGATGCTCAAGCTCGTGTGACTTTGCTCCCACCTATATAGTCAGAATTGCCAACATGTTTTTGTCGTTGATATTATTTTTTGTGCATGCGTGTGCACACGCACACACACATTGCGTGTGTGATCTTTGGAGACCAGAACTGAAAAGAATTCAGGATGACATCCTGCATGTCCTTCCTGCATGAAACTTTTCCCATTTACAAGACAATAGTTACTACCTTAATGTTAGGTGAAAATTTACCATCTGTGATATAGTGATGGTAGGTTTTAACAGTAAATAAGATGCACGGAGAAGGTTTCAATCTGTCCACATTTAATTTTCTTGTCGTCCACATTGCATGCAGTGTGTTCTTAATGTCTGTCTGAACCAGGCAATAATCAGCTTAAGAGGACTGGCAGGAGCAGTAATTCTGTCCCCTTGTTATAACAGGCGGGACTTAACATTACACACCACGAAACGTTCAACACAGACCTCTCGAGGTGGGCGGTTGGAATAGAAGAAATGGACCAGAAGAAAAGTCCAAACAGGAGGACTAAACGCCCGGCTAAAGTTCTTGAGGACAACGACTGGGATTGCAGCGTGTGCACTTACAGGAACACCGAGGAAGCGTTTAAATGCCTGATGTGTGACGTTCGTAAAGGAACATCGACCCGCAAGCCACGGATCAGCCCTCAGATAGCCGCCCAGCAGTATAATGCGACACCAGCAAAGAATAAAAAAGAAGGCGGCGTCAAAGAGGGGACCGTGAAGGAGAGAACAGAGAAGAAGAACAGTACACAAGGAACTAAAGCGGGAAAGAAGAGCAGGCACCCGCCTCGATTAAAGAACGTTGACAGGAGCTCCGCTCAAACATGGGAAGTGACTGTGAACAATGTTACAGTAGTGGTAACTGAATATAAACCCAAATCGAAGAAACCAGCGTCTGACCAGTCAGGCAGAATGAGCAGCGCTTCATCTGAGAATGGAAGCCAGTCAGAATCCAGTGTTGACGTGAGAAGTGGAGATGTTGGAACAGATTCCCGAAGTTCATAATCGTAATCCAAGTCTTAAACTAATTGATAAAAAAATGATCTGTAGGTTTTAATTAATCATAAGACAGAAGTGTTATCATACACAGATCTGAGACTGTATCATATATGTGGTGTAATTCCTTGCGTTATTTTGTGTGCTCTGACGAAGACGCTAGGTGCATTGATGTGATTCATGGTGGTCATACTTCAGCTGGATGGCATTAGACATTAGCAAGAATGGTGATTATCTAGAACAATTCTGATATCTGTGTTTGCATTCTTGAATTGTTGTGTCGTCGTATTTCTGTTTGTGATCAGAGTTTACTGTTATGGAGTTTTATATGTACTAGTTTCTTGGAGTGTTAGTCCTGTGATTTTGCTTTCATTATCTTTTTTGGCTCGTTAGGAAGATAAAAATTGTAAACCCAATTACACTGCCAGATAATAAAATACATTTCACAGGACTGTACTCAGCGCTGTTATCAGCCATGCCGTGAGTGAGGAGTGTGTTACGAAACTGGCAATGACATGTGAAGTTGGTGACGTTCAAAGCACGGCAGGTGATGGCTTTGAATGAATTGCAGTAAAAGTCAATTATTACCAGTATGTTATATATGTCACTGCGAGGCTATTGTAATTCAGTACCTGAAAACATGCCACATCACCATTACACATTTATTTATGTCTTTCCATACTGGAGCCGATGTAGAGCGCATGTTCATGATTAATATTATTTCTTCTCAGTTTTACTAGTCTCCGTGTAATAAGTAGTTCAGTTTCTAATGAGCAGTTACTTGGTTTTCCAAATGTGGACCTGAAAACTGTACCATATTGAAATCCAATGTACTCTCAGTTAGTGGGTACTCAAAGGTATTTGCAGTAATTTTGGAGTGAACATAAGAAATTATTCTCTTAATAATAATATAAGTGATTCCATTTAGAAATGCACGTGTTCTTGTAATTGTGATTATAAGTTATGTTGATCTGTATCCAGAGCCATTGAGTTCAGATAAATGGTCTTTGCCAGCGGTTGTGGTGGAAAAATTGTGATTTCAGAAAAAGAATTGAAGATTTTATTTATTTTTGCAAGTATGCGAGTAAATGTGGTATTCTTATGACAGTTCAGAAAATTAAACAAATGTTGATGCTAAAAGAATCTGCACAGCATGACTTGGATTTGAGTAAAAATAGTGTCAGTAGAACTTGTTGTATTCCATCAGCTGTAAATACTAATTTGATGTCATCAAAGACCCAATAATAATTTTTTAGGTTTATTTTTATATGAAGTATTTAAATTTGTAGCTTATTTGACTTCAACTGATGTGTTCCTACATTATCAGTGTTTTCAGAAATTGGCATCCTGTCATAGTATGTGACTTTGTATTCTGTTTTCTGAAATTCTGTTTGTTTGATTTGACTTACTCTCAGAAACTGAGATCAAGGTTTACACTGTATGTTCCATGTTGATTTACAAGAAATTAATTTTAGTAAAGGAAGATGCTCGTTGGGATTAAAAAAAATATTTTTGCATGTTTATAGTTTCTTCACATATGCTTTTGTTAAAAATGTATTCTTGAGTTTGATTTGTTGATAGTGAAACCTCTGTTTCTTTGCCATAGTTGGGGGAAAAATGTGTTTTCCGATTATTCTTCGTTTTGCAGTGCAATGTTTAAATATTTCCCGTTTGGTTTACATCTACCAGATTTCTCATATCTGTAATCCTGTTACAATTAATTGTAGCAGAACGAAAAGTGATGAGAATGGTTTTGTGCTCATTTTCCACTGCACCATAAAACAACATTAATTTGCTTGACTGTCAGATATGAAAACTCTGGTTGCAAAAGGAGCTATGTAACTATTAGTATTTATTGTTGAATTTTTTTATTGTGACGTCATATAATACTCGTGTGATTTAAGTGACTGAGGAGAAGAATGACTTAGTACCTGGTCAGGATGTTGAAAAACTGGGTTGTTAATTTGACCCGTGCTTTTAATTCCTGTTAATTATCATCTTGTGATGGTCACATAGTGATACTCGGGTTGGCTCAAAAAGCACCGTCACTGTGCCAAACTTGTTAGTGACTGGGATGTAAGTAAAAGGAGTCGTCGTGTGAACTTTACGAAAGGAGGCACATTTTATGTTTGTGGTTACTTCTGTGCTCCCACAGATGTGGTGTATGGCATCTTGGGGGATTGTTCACAAACTTTGTGTTTGTGGGTGCTGTGCTAAGGTGTGGTTTGACTGTTCACAGAAACATGTGGGCGTGATCATCATCAGACTAGAGCAGTTACTGCTTTTGTAACAGACCTCCTCACTCAGTTTTAACTATTAAAATGTGGTAACAGGACTTTAATGTAGACTATATTATCTGTATTATTAATGTATGCACAATTGTAAAGCAAGTCATTATAAACTCTTCTGAAGTATGTTATGTTGGTTTTTTTCCCACCATTTTCAAGGATTACATGTGGGGTTCATAGTGTTCAGGTTCCCAGTTCAGGGGTGGCTAAAGGTTATAAATTAGAAAATAAATTAAATTTAGGCTCTCACATCAGAATCTTATTTTTCCGTATTTCAAATGTAATGTATTTTCTTGCGTCAGAGTTACTCAATACGTGTTGGTTCAAAGAGGAACTAGCCCAGCAGTCTGTGGGGTGGGTCCCTCTGCATGGCATTTGGCAGGTTAGCTGAGTCACTGTGTGGGGTCTGCTTGTAAAAAATGAAACATCGCTTGGTTTTGATAGATTACTGAGTTAGGAGCAGTGATTGATATTTTCCTCCTAATTTGCAGTATTAAATTTAAATCTATAGTTGGGGCCCAAAATTTCTTGCAAATTGTTCCCCAAAATGACCATTCCTGCCTTGATCACATGCACATATTCACATATGAAGGTGTGGTAGAAGTTTGCCAACATATCAGAGTCGGCAAGGTTCCACAACCCAGACAGCCATCTTCATACTCACTGCCATGAGAGCCTCTTCTTCTAATTACTTACCAGTCGCGGTTACAATCATTACCATCAGTTCTTCATATGATAAAGGCTGTGCAAGAAAACGGTGCAAAGTGAATGGGAGTGAAGACGGCCGGTAGTGGTTGTGATTTTACAGTGGAGCAGTAAGATGATACCAATGCTTGACAACAGGGTTTAAGCTGCCAATTTGTCAAATGTCAAACCTCAATTCCTAGTTTGGTGGAGAAATTTGCAGTTAACTACGACATCAGGAAAGAGGCACATTCACAGTGTTTGTAAGAAAGTTTCATTCTTGATAAAAGGTGAGTGTGATACTTAAGAAGCATATTGGTGTATCTGTTATCTTAGTATTCTGTAAAATTTGCAAATGTTGTGGCTTTTTTGCAGGTTTCAGCAACAAACATAGAATCTTTTCCAATACTATGTAGATGTTGTATTTGGCTAAAAATGGAAATATGTGAGTTGACTAAATATTTTTAGCATGGTTTAGCTACAATGCTAAATATAATTTTGGTCCAGCTTAAACCCTGCTTAGAGCAAAGGTAAGATCACATTATGGGTGGCAAACAATTTGTAGAATTTGCTAAACTTGTTGTTTCTGTTCCAAAAGTGTCATTGGCATGATTTGAATTTTCTGTGCCTCTTGTACTAATAGTGAAAATGTTCTGCGGTAATCTAAAGATTCTTGGCAGTTTGGGTGGGGGGCAAGGGTAGTTGACCTATAACAGTTGTCCCTGAAACACTTTCAGTGGTTCCTGAATTCTTTGAAGTGTTCAGATGAGGTTATGTTGTTCTTCATTTGTCATCTGAAGTTTATACTTTTTGAAGAAATGTCCTGAACTTATTTGTAGCATGCATCACAGTTTTGTCAGTAATATAATTTTTATTTTTTACTCATCCTCATGTATTCTGCCACATTTTTGATAGATTCATCGGAATGTCTTGTATTTAGGGTGTTAGAACAGTGTTTAAGATCTGATGTTGGCTCGCTGTATTTATGTATGTGTTTGAATCCAATGGAACATTAGTAATGATCTCTTTGTTGAAATGCACAGTTTCTGTAATTTTGGTGTTAGTTCTACTGAATATATTTAGTCTCACCTGATGTGACATGAAGTTTCACGTTACCTGCCGGCACAAGACATTTAGTATCATAAATGAAAGTGGGACCGTTTGTCGTCACTGTGTTGGAGTGACGTCATTTGGTTCTGAGCCTTAAAATCATTATGTTTGCCTGTAGTAGTTTTAATGGTTGTGTCATGACTGTAGATTTTAGTTGTGTCTGTTAATGCTGTATCGGGTTGATTTTCACCTATTAGTAGTCATAACATTCAAGTCTGAATTTATTAGATGTCTGGAGAGACGTTTCCACATCTCTGTGTGCCATTTTATGCGTGTGAACGTGTTTTGTTCTAGCTTGCATTGTCATGAAAGTATGTGGATATAATTTATGTTGGGATCTTTAAAATATGGATAATCTTGATGCAATTCGTGTATCTTCTCTGAATGTTCTGTCTTAAAATCCAGGCACCTTAAGTTTATTGATTTTCTGGATTTTTTGTCTTTTGGAAGGACATGTTTATCTGCTAGAAAAGAGATGTACTTTGCAAATTGTAGAGTCTTAAAAATTCATAATAGATATTAAGAATAACCCTCCAGCTCATATACAAATGCTGCTCTCCGTCTTTGTTCACTCGGCAGTGTAGAAAAAAAAAACTATGTTTTGCCATACTGTGTTAGGCAGTAGCAGATCATGAGCAAGAAAATATCTCTTGGAGCGGAGCACAGCCCCACTGCCACACTAAGGTACTGCAGGGCAGTCCCATACATCCCAAAAAGTAATCCATGCTAAAAGATTTTCATACTGGTCAAGTAGATGTGAAAAATGTAGGTAATCAGGAGATGAAATTGATGGAAGTATTTTTTATCGCAGGACTGTGGAGGCAGATGAGGACAGTGAAAATAAAGGAACAGATGAGATTCCAGTCATAGATGCATCTGATGAATACAATTTTGATCAGTATGATGAAGAGAAGATCAAGCTAGATGCAATGTTAGGTATTGGCAATTTGACCATATATCCTAGCAACCGTGCGGACCCATATGTGACGCTAGATGGAAATGAGGACGATGACAGCGAGAAGGAAGATGACGTGATCAACCCTAAAGATAACTTGATTCTTGTCGGTCATGTGGAGGGTGACGCTAGCATTCTGGAAGTGTATGGTGAGTTTGTGTCTGCAGTGTGGTGTATAACCCTTTGTCTGTCAGAAATTTGATTGAGGTATGCAGTTAGTTTTATAGGTGGTCTTGTTTGAGATGAAGCTGTTTCTTCCTTCTTTATGGTAGCTGTCCAGATGGCAGGGACAGTAAGTTCCCTCAAAATGTTGGTAACCGCCTATAAACATGATCGCAGTGTGCAAAGGATGAATTTGGCAAATGCGTGTCTTGTATTTGACTTACATTTAAACTGGCTGCATGTCAGAGTCAGGATAGCGCCTTCATTTTCATCATGTCTGCATTCTTCACACATTTTTTATCATCATTCCATTTAAGATAAGGAAAGACATCACAGATGAACAAGGACAATTATTCATAACTTGAAAGGGATGCAGTTGATGAAATAACCTGTGAAACAAAACTGTTTTTGTGTAGAATCGTACAGTGGATCACATCAATAATGTAAGGTGGTGTGTTGCAGTTTACAATGAAGAGGAGGGATCCTTGTATGTACACCATGACTTGCTGCTCCCTGCTTTCCCACTGTGCATTGAATGGTTGAGCCATGACCCAGGAGAGGGGAAGCCAGGTGAGTATGTGTACTC